GTGTACGTCTCTTGAAACATAATTTTACGAAAATATACAGTAATCTTGACTTATACAGTGAAATTGAAACATTTTCTCTAAGATTGCGAGTAACTTGCCACTAGGGACTTAAAAGAGAATTTTCATTAACTTTTCACTACCTATTAAAGTGACTAAACCTTTTTTTTACTTTTTGAAACGATCCGAAGGTTAGTTGGATCATTGATCTGCAACAAACATTGCGTGCACTAGTTTCAGTTAATGCATGAGTGGAACGTTTCAGTTCTTCTTTGAATACGCTGTCTATAAATAAACAAATACTTAGTCATGTCTGCATTCACAATATCGGTCACTGGATGTAAATATTTCACATAGCAATTTGCTCAAATAGACTGACGGAAAATGTCTTGTCACCCATGCAGCCAGTATTGTAAGGTAGGAAAAGCCATGCGATAATCTAGGCCTATGTATTTAGTAACTTTTAGGCGATATAGAATTAAATGACAAATGTAAGACAGCTCAAAATCACTTCAGGATGGAATTAGATACATAGGTACATGCATGGAAAGAATTTTACCCGCGTCAGCTATATGAGAAGAAATGTTGATGTTATTGTTGGTCGGTTATATTACAAGTTATGTTGATTGCGTCAAATTTGTTTCAGTAAAAACTGCCTGATTGTTTATCACGGTACTGAGTTTTTTGTCAGTTTTACGTTCTTGTTAAAATTTGTGAAGGATTGATAAATGGTGTACGCCACGACAAATACTAACACATAAACTTCAAGTTATAAGGTAATTATGATTCAAAGGTATTTTTCATCCTTACGAAAAATGCGAAGACTTAATAAGAATGAAACAAGAACTACCCTATAAGTACGATTTCTGGGATAATGTAAATTAAGTTAAGTCGAGTCTGCGATAACATGGAAATTGATCTACAGGCTTGTTTAGGTTGTCATCTTTAGGCCCTCGCTAATCAACGTATCCAGACAAACACCTTCCCGATTTGATAGAGTTCTTTCTGACGGTTCTCCTCTTAATTTCATCGTTTTAACCGATGCAGATAAGATCTGTGCAATCTGTGTAAATAATTCTGGAGCGTGGTACTCTAAACCGGAAATTGAACGTAATGAAGTTTACACGTGAACAGCGGACTGCGTGGTAAATCAGACACAAAAATAACAGGCAGGAAACGGAAATTCTGATCCCAAGAGTTGTCGTTTGTGGTTTATTTTTTTTTCGCTGTTACAATGGTTTAACAGACCCCAGAGACATCCATCAAAAAAAAAAAAACAATGGGTACTTACTGCTTGGTGGGCGTCCGCGACAACTCCCGCCATTATGGGCACGCCGTCTAGGAGATTCTTCAGCCACGAACTAAAAATGCCAAGAAGAAAAGTGTAATCCTTTACTTATTTTGATGTATTTGATATGAATTGACTAGTCATTTCCAGTCAGCCTTTAATTGCCTTTGGTCCATTCCCTTTCCTGAATTCTTCTTGACTATACGATTCAATTCGGCTTGCCACTGTTCTATTTTATTTCACATTGAAAGCTACTCGCACTAGTAGTGACATAGTCTTCCCATTATATATGTAATTTTCGTTAGATGTCACAATTTTATGATAGGCATGCCTTTGCCCACGATTTCAAACAGAACAATCAGGTTCCAAAACAAAGAAAACAAAAAGCAATCTGAAATAAAAGAAAGCACATGGACAAGAAAGAAAGAAAGAACATCGTCAGCGAATTCTCCAAGAAGCCCTTGGTACAATACCCCGAGAAAACGCATTGTCATAAGCAATAAGGCTTCATGTGTCTGGCATTGCATCATTGAGGAATAATCCTAAATTAGAACCCAGATGGTAATTGGTAATTTTAGTAACAATAAGTAACAAAGAAGACTGAGGCGTTTGTCCGATTTAAACCCTAAATTAAAGCCAACACTCTTCTAGAACCTTGCAACAACCTCGCAGATCAAAACAACAGCTTGTTTTCTTTAACTTATGAATTTTCCGGTTAAGCTCTCCTTCCCTAGCGAGATAAAATTCAAAGAATTTGTAATGATTGATGTCGAACAATTTGTTTTTATCTTCATTTTAATCGCAACAAGGTGCTTATTTGGAAGTTGAAAGCGACCTGCACACAAAAGCAAGGTCCTCTACCGTCACAATCGGTTGGTTCAAAGATCAACATGCGCACAACGAGTTGTTTTTTACCGTCTTTGTACTTTTGACGTTACAGTTTGACACGGCTCTGTGAACAAGTTGAAAAACTAAAGTGACGTTAGATTATTCAAATTTTGTTAGTGTTCTTTCACACCCAGCTCTCATAATGTATTGTCCATAGAGGTCATAAAAAGAACATTGTCATTTCCCTGGCATTTCACTCAAACATATTTTAAATACATCATGTACTTCTATATAAATGAACATTTCCGAACTTTAGAATGAATTCGATTAAAGTTAGGGAATGTTTGAATATCGTAAATTGCAAGTATATGAGGAATCGACATTAACAAATCACACAGATTATACCTACAAGAAGGAAAGTCTCTAAACAAAATGAAGGTTAGAGTATCTTTATTATTTTCAGTTATATAAAATTTTGAATAACAACTGCACTCTAAAAAGTTGCTTCTTAACATAAGGATTTGGGTGAATTGAAAAATAAATTACTGTAAATCGCATTTTCAAATCTCAAATTGGATCAAAAGGGTTTTCAACCATGCATCATAATTGCTGTAAATTCAAGTATAGCGTTTCTATTTATTATAACAGAACAAATTAAATAAGTTTTCCATTATTAAATTAAGGCGCTTCGTACATGTTACCCCTCTGTAGGTATGAAGGTTTCCACTACAAATCAGTGTTAAATGCATCAAAATATTTTATATTAATAAACTGCGATTTGGTGCCACTGAGCGGTAACGGACATTACCGATAGTGGCCTAAAATGTTTCGCCATACAAGAAAAGACGAAAAAAAGGTAGTGAAATTTAAAAATCGTCACCATCCAGTGATTCTTACTTAGCACATACAGATGAAGAGTACTCTAACATTTCTTTGTAGGTATTCTATAGCTATTAATAAAATTACTGTCGGTGAATGAGTCACAAATGTCATGACCACAACATTAAATTAGATTCAGTTATATGAACCAAGCTGACCGCAAATTGCATCATGTCGTGTTCACACTAATATTGACCACTAGACTTGAGTGTCCTCGAACGGTACAATTTGTCCTGCGTCAAGATTGAGTGTATTAACTAAAATAACTTACCAACAATCTATCTTAAGCTCATCACAATTCTTTTCAATACTTTTTTGAGTTACTAACTCAATAACTATTGAAATAAGGAAGATTCGATGGCTGGCTAATACTCTGAAATGTGACGAAAACATAATACAGCAGTCTTTAATTTTAGTCAGATTTTTGTTTCAGCATCTAACTACTTCCTTAGGATATTACATACACAAATTGTCTGGTGGAAGGCATAAACATAATTCAGTTTGATTCTCGTTAGGATCTGAAAATACCTTAGAGTGCCAAATAAATATTCAACAATTTCACTTACTAGAAGGCTCCATTTTTCGTCAGCCAACTTTTTTGTTAGTCACCCTTTTTTTCCTTTCCTCGTTTTTTCCCTTTTCTTCCTTTTCCGCATTGAAAATAAACCTCTTGTAATCCTGATAGGCTTTACTAGAAGACTCTCATTTCCGTATGTGTGTTTTTCGTCCTAGAATTCCCTGTTTTTCTCAGTAAAACCGGCCGACTGAGAATTGACCAACCATTAATTAATTCAAGATTAAGAAAGGGGACTGGCGAGTCAGCTCTCTATTTAGAGTTAATGGGGGCAGACTCTCAGTGTTCAAAAATATTTATAAACCACTTAGGACCACAAAACACGTTTCAGCATGATTCCGTCGAACCAAACTGGCTACTTAAAGCGACAAAGTGATCCGCTAGTCAAAAATTTGTCCACAGAACTAAATATTGCAAAACTCACGGCTACAATTTATTTTAGTCGAAAACAATAAAAACACTATTAAAACATAATTAATATTACTTCTATCAAACTCAAGAAACGTTTGTAAATCTCACCAGTTGTTGAACTTATTGGTTAGAATGAAGTGGTTTCCATAACTACTTGGACAAGTTAGACCCTTCTGTTCGTTAACGCAAGACTACTAACACTGCATAATATTTTGACATGATAGTCCTTCATGCCTATCTTTGTAGTCCGATTTGCTGAGACAATCTTAATACTTAACATAGCGACGTAACGTCAGAGAAAGTCATGTTTCACTCAACGTTAGTCTTCCATATAGACAGCAAAAATAGTTGTTGGAACTTACGAACGAGAGAGGATTTAACTTCGTGGTATTCGAATAATCAAACCAGAATCAACCGGAAAGCGCGCTCACCATGGTTACTCAAGTGCAACAAAGTTTGCGGCTGTCTATGTATTTGATAAGTTTATTTTAATTAATTGTAATCATTGTCCGCGATTCAATGGCATAACTAAAAGTGAGACTAAAATGACAATAGGACTCGCTCTAATGGAGAGAACCTCAAATTACGACACTTTCAGGAGAAGAATCTTCATTTCGAAATCGGACTTGACTCAATTTCCACACAATGGTGTTATTACGGCGAACATTGTACTGTTCACTTAAAAGTTCATGGATAAACAAACCTCCTCCGAGACCGGATTTCCTCTAGTGTCTCAAAAATACATCCGGCCTTGTGGGCGTCTGTTTATTTAAAGGGTTTTACCTAAATTAAAATTTTCCTTGCTGTTAAAAAGGTAATGCGGTGTTGATATGTTGTATCGGCAACTTCATACGCTTGGCATGTTTGATTTTTTGTTTGTTATACTAAACAACTTCCTTTTTTAAATGCCGAGGTTTTGTTTGCCTCTAATCGCTGCTAGAATTTGTGAACACTAGCTATATTGTAATTATCATTTCTTGTATTTTTCAGCTTATTTGTCTACTGATTATTTATCTGTCCACAATGACGTCATTTGTAAACTCGTTACCATGCCAAAAAAGGACCAACATACAAGCGCCACGAGTATTACGTCTTCTTGAGGAAAAATACATTTTCGTGAAGAAAAAGACAAGAAGTGAAATTCCACTTCTTACAACCACTCCATTTCCACGACGAAGAACTACTCGAGTTGCAGACGCTTCAAACATACCGGGAACTACTTATTGTCCGTGGGTCTGGGAACAGGACGATGATCCCGAACGTGTCCCGCGGATATTAGTAAAAGCTAAGTGTCCTGGATGTAAACATTTTTGTAAACCTGTACACTACCACCACACGGTTCTAATAGCAAAATGCGACAAAACTACTGGTCACAAAGTATGGAAGTGGAGGGAGAGAAAACTTGCCGTGGCATATGTTTATGAACCTTACGATTGACGGGAATTCCTTGTGGCTGTGCGGAATCGTCCTTCTTCCTAAACTTTTAGATTATTGTAATTTCATATGAAAAATATATTTTTATGGGATATTCATTATTTATTTTGAGAAAACCTCGAAAAAGGCTGAAGCTAAACCAAAGTGCAAACTCATTCCACAAAAACCAAAAAAAAAATAATTCGAGGTGTTGTGTCAACATCTCTCCAGGAGGGACATGCTGTGTTTTTAACCACTGAGCCTCTTCCGCACCTTCTCTTTCTCAACAAATTTATTCTCAATACAATTTTATTATTTATGTTGAACAATCAAAATTAACCTGAATTTAGACAGAGCGGTGTATTTTCCAGATACATTTTAGGTTGTAGCAGAATACTTATTCATTGTAACTCAAACGAAATTATTAAGCCTTAGGTCCTATGTTTCTGCATGCAGTAAATGTCTGAGCTTGTTTTACTTCACTGAGTTTTCGACAATTTGATCGTCCGATTTAGAAAGTGTCCTATGGAAGCTTATGTTGCACATGTAATTGTGACCTTCGCACTCGCACAGCACGCATAACTATGCAATTAGCATAAGCACGAGCACCGCGCTTTGTAGAAATTATAATAATTCCGTAATGAATAAAGGTTGTCAGTTTTAACATGGAACTGACCAAGTAACACTTACGGAGTTAAACAGATAAATTATGAGCAATTTCGTTCGCAAAACTGCCTTTAGTTATGGTGATGGTGGCCCAAAACATTTATTTCAGGTCATCATTTCTCTCACTCTTTTCTTATCACTTCCATAAAAATGGCTTTAAAATATCTAATTATTACTCAAAAAGTTCTGGTGATTTTTTGACAGAGAGGGTAACCAAAGAAACACCACAGCTTATTACGAACACTCCTAATGAACTAAAGTAGCACAAACAACACTATTTGTAGGTTAGAGTTTATTTACTTTACTATTTACGGAGTCATGAAACGGAGCCTACACTCCCAAACAAAGCTTTATAAAGCTGTCCCCTCATAGAGAGAGCTTAGGCACCCTGTGAGTTATGCAAATCCGAGACTCAGTTAAGGGTTTGCATAACTGTTGAGAATTCTCCCAACCTTCCGAGTGTTTAGACGAGAGTATGAAAACAGGGAAAAAAGTTTCCAATTGCTTTAATAAAATACTTTTCTCTAATAAAATGACAAATGAAGGAAAATGTTTTTCATTTACTTGATTGATAGAGATTTCCTCGATTCATACTCTGGGCGCAAGTCATGACACGCATCTACCGGCACATAAACCAATCAAGATTCACGTTATAAAAATCAAAGTCGTTGAAATCTGTGGCAAGCGCTAGCATCGTGTGAATGAACAATTACAGCTTTTCGTGAACATTTCATGATAGACATGGTAAAGAATGTCTTACAGAGTTTGTTATTGCAGCACTCAAAATCGAACATTTACTTGAAAATGTTAACTGGCCAATTATTCAATGAGAGCGCGCTTACTACCCTAATTATTTTATAAATACACGTGGTAAACGCGCTGTCTGTTTTCGACTTTTCTGTATAGTGTGAAGCAAGCGGAACCTGTATGAGCAAGGTGCGACAAAGGAGTTGTACAAATTTCGGATATTTTACAGTTCTAGGCGTGGACCGTTGTAATTAGGAAAAGATTTCTTAAGGAAAGAACTTCAAGAATTTCTTAAGGAAAGAACTTCAAGAAGAGGAGTTTAATTAACCTGAAAATGACTGTCACTGTGACGAAACCTTTCCTAATTTGGCAGCCCGAGAACATGGTTGAGAAATTGAATCTCTCATCGTAATTTGTGAATTTTTGCTGGTTAGTAAAGTTTTGCTGTCTCATTCAGAATAAAAAAGTGACCATATATTTTTTTAGGCCGAGAGCGTCGATGAGGAAATTAAATGTTACGAAGAATTTAGAAGCCAAAACATAGCAACCGATCGGTTGCGTAATGCAAAGTTTGCTTTGACAGTTTGAGATACTTACAGTTTGTGGCACATAGTTTGATGTGCGTTTTCATGAACATTTTGTGATTTTTGTGAAAATTTTGTAGACATGGCAAAGAATGTCCTACAGAGTTTGTTATTGCAGCACTCAAAATCGAAAATTTACTTGAAAATGTCAACTATGCTTACATGCACTTTACTGGCTAATTGTTCAATGAGAGCGCGCTTACTACCCTAATTATTTTATAAATACACGTGGTAAACGCGCTGTCTATCTTCGACTTTTCTGTATAGTGTGAAGCAAGCGGAACCTGTATGAGCAAGGTGCGACAAAGGAGTTGTACAAATTTCGGATATTTTACAGTTCTAGGTGTGGACCGTTGTAATTAGGAAAAGAAGCAGAAAGTAAGAGCACGTGCAAGAATGTTCACTTCCGGTGATTGTGTATTTCAAGTCCGGTCTCGCCATTTTTTTCCTTATAAGAACCAGTATAGTTTTACCAGTTTTACAGTCTCCAATCTGTTTGTTCCCGCGTCCATTAAAACTTAGCCCACGTGGAAGCTTTCTTTCCGACGCCATCGATTAAAATAATTTCTCAAGAAATTATATGAAACTTCTGTTTTAAAATGTCGACGTGTTTCCTTCATGAAACACAACTCTTGCGAATCGCTCAAATAACGATACTATTGGGTAAGCTTCCGCAGTCAATTGGCTTGTTAGTTTCCCATTAAAGGAAAAGAAGAAAAGTAGATGAAAAAACAGTTCCGCCGTCAGCGTTAGCAGTTCTTCATCTACATACCATCTTGAGGAATAACCATGTTGGCACCTAGTTTCAAACGTTAAGTGCATGGCATGAGCCAGTTACCAAATATTTTGGTTAAGGAATGTCCTTGTACAGACCAGAAGACTTATCAGCCTTAAGATCGAATTTACAAGTCGTAAACAAATCGTGGTTTTTCTCTCTAAAAGTTGTTTGTTGCAAATTTATTCTAGTGTAGTATAAATGTATTTTTCTTTGATGATAATTAAGTCTAAATTTAAGAATGCTGTCAACACTCGTTGTAACTGAGGTACTTATTTCCAAACGATCCGTTTTGTCTCTCTAAGGGACAAAGAAATTTGAAAGTCAAAAAAGTCGCAGACTCCAAATCGATCGTCAAACTATAAACTTATAAAATATTGAATCTTTAAATAATTAATTAGATATTGCTAACACGCGATTTATTTCCGAAAAGTGGACTGAAAGAGTTTCATTAAGCCAATTTCCCCCCCAAAAAAATCTCTTTGCGATGACGTAATAAGAGGAAGTTTTTGAGTAAGAGTTGTTCCAAACGCACTCGACCTCCTTGGAAACTGCGTCGGCCTATATTGTTTGAGAACCTTTTACCACAAAGTTTTTAAACAAACAGAGTTTATGTTACAAAGGAAACATATGTACTAGTTGAAAGTGTCAGAAATTCGGATACAGCTGAGGAAACACCACGCAAACGTGGGCATAGGCTGAACTCATCCTTCTCTCACTTACCTCTGTACCTTAATTATCATAAACGTATTTATAATTATCATCTAAAGGAGCAAGGGTGTATTCTTTTTGCTCGTGATCAAAACTCCGCAAAGTTTGATCGAAAATTGTGCGGAGCAAATTTTGCAGTAGCTAAACAAAGCTTTACATTGCGTCTTGTAACATAGGCGGATCACGTCAAAGAAATTACAGGACTCATGTTAGGAAAGAAGCAAGAAAGACACGGTTATGACCAATTGGTGAATTGGTGAATTGAACACAACAGCTTATCAGACAGCTATGTGGTTAAAAACGCTCAAAGCTTGTTTCGCGATTGCATGTATATGTTCAATAAAGTACACACCGTGAAACATAACAAAGAAAGGACCTTTTCTGAAAATATTTCGAGACAATAATTATATATCTAAATATTACAGAGCTAGAGAACGCATATTAGCAAGAGTTTCGATATCTCTTTGTTATAATAAAGCAAATCAGTTTTCCCGCAGTTTCGTGCACACAACCTTTTGTTAGACGTTGGGTAAAACCTGAACTGTGAAACTTATCATAACGCAAGATATTAATTTTTAAAACGCGTTGTTTGAAAGGAGTTTTAAGCATGTCGCAATGTTTGCTCTTAAGGACGTGATGGTTTGCATACATGAGCTCGACAATGATCAGTAGCAAAATATTAAACGCACAAGAATTATTCACAATATATAACAACCCTTACGAGCTTACCGAGCTTACCATCTTGAAGGAAATACTCCAATATAACATAAAACCAGAGGAAACATCACGACCTGTTTCATATGTTCACTCACGCTAGGCTGGGTAATCGAGTTTGAAGACGACAAATGTGCATAATTTAAGTTTGTTTAGTTTCGTCATGTCATGCTGACACAATTTTAAGTGTGCTAAATATTTTGCCTTTTAAGTGTGCTTGATATTTTGCTTCGGTGCATTCTCTGATAACCTCTCATTTTAGGTTTGATGAACCCAAAGACTGTGTGAAGTAAAGCGGATCACTGGGTCAAAATTTGAAATAACACTGATACGAACGGTTTTGTGTATTAGAAAGAACAAACATTGAAATAATCTGCTCGATAAATATGAACGCGCTCAGACATAAACGTTCTCCAGATGGAAGAGCAATGTCAAGATGCGATGTTGTGCGCGGTAATACGTTTTAAAGAAGTTAACATCTTTTATAATTCAATGATTCAACTAAATTAGATTAAAAATAGTTTTATTTAAATTAAGGAGGTTGTTATGTCTGTTTGAATTCTACAACGAAGGCTATTTACATATCAAACTATGTTGCACGTGTAATTATATTAACGGAATAACATAATACCCGAACGATGTGAAGATTTAAACTCCTTAAAATCTGTTGAAAAAGTTAAACCACCGCACTAATAATATCAATTATCGCAATTCTCGAGTCTCGAAGACAAGTGAGCTTCCTTGCGATAAGTAAACTAACTAAGTAATTAGAAAAATCATTTGATGGGCTCTGACATAATTTTAGGATTTGCCAAAAGGTGAAAATTTTACTGGACGACAGTAAATTAAAAAGAGGTGTTCACGAGGTGCAAACTTCCTACACGAAATTTCCTTCCCGTCATCAAGTGGGAGGAATGATCTTAACATGATTAAGGAATTAGCGAATTATTGAAGAGGATTTAATAATGAACAATTAATATGTCGTGAGTTCCAGGTTTTGGTGAACTAATTTCAAGGCAACGGAACAGGTGGAAGGAAATGTTTGTTAATTTGTTTGCCTTAAAACACGGGGGGAAGTCAATGGGAAGTCGATGACAGAAAAGAAATGGGGGAGCAACAGTCGCATAGGAAACTGAAGTTATACGCTTGTTAGCTAAGTTTTAAACACGGAAAACCTTAACGGAAAGCTTGTCGGCTAAGTTTTAAACAAGGAAAACTTAACGGAAAACCAGAGATTCACTCATCAATTTACCTTGATTTTCAAAAAAGTTGTCTAGCAGAAACAACTAAATGCCATTCGCATTAAAAAAAAGACGCAAATAGATCGTTGTGGCTATTGAAATGGTAATTTGAACCATCGCGACGTTTAGGTTATATTTTCGCGGTTGGGTTCTGGATGAAGCTAAGACACTGTTATTACTATATCGTACAAATGCTTTCTGTACTATTTCGGCTCTAAAATTTCAACCCTAAACATGTTCACAATCCAAAGATCACGCGACCGTGAGAGAAATTGTTTTACAAGTAACGGAAGAATGCTTTTCAGGACAAAATAGCAAAAAATATACCGCATTCCATTTAGCATACAGATATTTATAGTGTAAGTGACCTTAAACAAGTTGCAACTTTTAACTAAGAACGCTATACATTCCAAAACTTAATATTCCACACTTTTTAAAAAGTTGATTAAAATTGCTCAGAAACCTACCACAGTTAATTCAAGCACAGAAGAAAACGGAAAGATCGACATATTTTAGTCACCTAGGATTAAAGGCACAAAATTTTTGGTTTGAAAATCATTTTGAGACAGAAAGGTTTCCTTTTTCGGATAGTTAAGTTATTTTTATTATAACGGAGAGAATTATAAACTTGGAAGCGGAAAAAAAAGAAAAGTGAACACGCGTTACTAGTTTCTCTAGGTGGGGGGACAAATTTGAGGAGCATAAAAAATCAACGTGGTGTGATCCACGAAAATAGCAAAAATGTCACCAGAATGGCACTCCGCAGACATCTAACTGTACATTTTAACAATATCAAGTTTATTTTCCTTGTGAGAAGTTAACGAGCACATGCGCGTAGGAAGCATAATATTATGAACTGGAGCTGAGGTATCACTCCAATGTTGACGCCACAAGTAATATATAAGGAGACGGACGAAGCCCTGGATCGCAGAAGCTTTCTGAACTGAAAGGCAGATCAAGAGCAAGCACGGAACCTGAAGACGGCAAGCATAGGACCGAGTAACGTCTAGCTACCCAGTGAGAGTAACTTACAACTGAGAAGAGCTAAGTGCAACAATCCTTAATTCAATTTTCATTCAAGATCAAATCTCAAGCAATGGTTATCAAAAAGGTAAGATATCTGTTAAGTTCTGAACCTTTATAGACTGTGTATTAAGTAAAAACTAACTGAAAACGAGTGTTTATTTTATTACGTAAGCAATAGTCTAATATTTATCCAGTCTTCTCTGTCTTTCTACAAGACGGAGTTACATTAGTCTGGAAAAGAAATTTTCGGTCATTAATTTCATCAAGATTCGCCAACAAAGTTCGAAGTGGATTTAATGTAAAAATAAAAACTTTTTTGTAAAATCTCTTGTTAGCGTTTGGTTTCCATGAGGCTAATTCGTAACATAAAAAAAGGTTTTTTACGCGGGTAGCCGAACATTTGCAACAAATTTAAATTTTATCTGTAAATGCTCCTAACAGAAATCTCTACAGAAAAATCGTTGGAGACAAAAAAATATACTATCTGATAATCTTAACACTTTTAACTGTAAAAACCCAAACACTAGGCAGTACGCATTCTCACAATTCATTTGAAAGTAAAATCTCCCCTTTCGGTCGCGAGTTAATGGTAAACGCACTCTCGTGTAAATCTTTAAAGCATCACATGTTTTGAGACTGATTTGAAACAAATCTTAAATTCAAATTATTCGTATCATCACTAACACCCACCGATTACTTGATGCGGCATAAGTTAGCCATTGGTATCATTTGACTGGCTTTTTGTTTTTTAGTTTTTTTAATGAATCGTTCTTGCGTTCCTTGATCAGAACGTGAAGCTGAACAAAAAAAGAACAAAAAAATAATTTTTTCTTTAGTAATTTACTATCTTGCATGAAATTGGAACTTTATGAAATTTACGTCCTCTTTCACGTTGCCCACGAAACTCCCTCGCCAGTAGTAACTGACTTGCTTGTCAATTTTACGTCAATGTATTGACTCTAAATTTGTGAGACAAAGGAGACGGGCTGACGTAAGGGCTAGCGCTCTTACCTCTACTCTGTACCATTATATGTTTGTCTTTTTGTGTGTGTTTGCTTACTCCTGTTTTGTTTGTTTGTTGGTTTGTTTGTTTGTTTGTTATTTAGGTTTTTGTTTTTCTTTAGCATATGTAAGTGATCAGATGCGATGTTTAATGATCTTGTGGAAACGAAAAATGATGAAAGAATCCTTTTTGTTTCGTAATTCGCAGTTTTTGATGTGTGCGATTTTCATTGCGGTTATCATTTTTGGCTCCATGTCTCCACCTGGTTGCAGCGGCTGTGTGGCGAGACAAAACTTAACCGATACTCAAATGATGCAACGGATTCGCCAAAGGGGCTACCTTTTCATGAAAAACAAGCTCATTGGTTCCAATGGCTCCCAAAACAACATCCCTAACGGAGCGCATGCAGGTACCACACTATGTCCGTGGAAATGGGCTTTAGATGACAATCCCGACCGACTTCCCAGATTCCTATCAAAAGCTGTATGTCCTTCATGCAATCATTACTGCAAAGCCATACACTATACGCACACCTCTCTCATTCAGCGGTGCGATCGAACAACCGGTCTGATGTATTGGTCGTGGATGCCAAAGACAATGGCAATAGCTTATGTGTATGTACCTAATAGAAAATAATCCATCGTCAAGATAAACCGGCTGCCAGACAAAATATCTCTGAAGAACAGTACTAATGAACGAGGTTGCTAGTCTAGTTATCACATAGAAGTTGGTATAAAATAGGTTTATGAAACATACGGGAAAGAAGGTATAACTAGTTACAGAGAGCTAATAGCATAGTTCTCAGAAGCAGCCTATCACCAATATCAAATCGAAAGTTTGAATTTCTTAAGTGCTTTTTTAAATTACAGCTCAGTTTCTGGAATTTAGGTTATATTTTATTTACATTCTATGTTCAGAATAACGTTTCTGACAAGAAATTTGCTTGTAAATCTTGTAGAATTAATTGGAATTCTAGTATTGTTTATGGCAATATTTTATTTAAATGGTATGTTTATAAAGTTTTAAGACAAGAAATTCGACGAAATTTTTAATTAAAAGACAGTGCAGTGCGGTTAATCTGTAACTTCCTCTAAGTTCGATTAAATTGAAATCTGAATCAAAGCATTTTCCATTTGAGACGGCTTGTTTTATTTTTAGTGATATAAATAAAATCGATTTACCCATCAAATTGTTAAATTGTTGTACAAAAGTCTACTTTAAATGCAAGACCCAAGTTCGCCAAATATAACAGCGAGTTTTGGACTCGGCACAAGACAAAAGGAAAAATTTCGAGAAGACTTATCAAAACACGAACGCATAACAGCGGGTCTTACCTCGTCCTTTACATTTACCTGTTACTCTGTTATTTCAGAAAAAATTGATGGATTCGCTTGCCGTCGAATTTTACTCCAGTGAAATACTAGTATCCTATGAACAAGGATTTCCCGTAGAGTTTCTAACTGTCCATGACCACCCAATGGCATTGAAATTGCAATATTAAAAAAAAAAACCTCAAGAATCAAGCGAACATTGAAATGTTAAATAAACGCAGATTTGTTCACGTAAAAAATGTTGTAAAAGATGCAAATTATCTTACAAGCTGTAAATGTTTGTTAAATAACACTTTTTTGGTCGCGGCTGAAAATTTGAAGGTGAATCAAAAATAGTACTCCCAAGTTGACAATAATCTAAATTTGAGAGGTGAAAGGGTTACAAGATAGGTGTCGTTTATTATCCTTGCCTAAGAACTGCTCGACATAAATCAATTCTAATTGAGTCCCCAGAAGTTATCGAAGACATCTATCGCTTACTCACCTTTTTTAAATTTTTTTTAATGTTTTTTTTTTTTCACGTCGTTTTTGCTAATGTCGGCATCTTCCCTAATTCGAGAGGTTCTAATCAAAAAGCAACTCCCGACTACCAGCAAATGAATTGATGGTTACTGAGCCAAAATGTACGAAATGGTGAAGTTTCACTTTGGAAAGCCTTTTTGTGGAGTTTTCCATGAGCCTCCTTATCTTTCTCAGAGAAATTTAATACGTACTTGTGTTTAATGTGCACAATTATATCGTTATAAATAGTTCGCTAGACAATACGCGCAGCACACGGCAAACTAAACATCAGAAAATAGTATAGTATTTTCTCGATGTCAATATCTGTACTTTCTACAAACGTTATCGTTTTAAATTCTTGTTACTATTATTTATTACTTACACCAGTATGCCCTACATAATAATAATACAATGCTAGCACAAATTACGAACGTTATTATATCTGCCCACATTACGTGAACGGAATAAAAAGTAACTGGAAGGCTAGATGCCGGCAGTGAAACGTTCTCGTAACTCAGCTGCAATCGATCTCCCAATACATTAAATTTTGCTTTTAGGTTGCCCTTTGCCTTGAAATCAGCTGACTTTTTCTAGCATTTTGCCCTATTTTCTTTTTCAGCCACTGTACGGCAACTATGACCAAGAAAACTGGCATGCTCACCTTTCCCGCCGAACGCATAGTAAGTTGCGATGAAACGAAAACGTAAACACAGTGAACGATTCTGTTGAGTGACAGTTTAATTTAAGCAATGAGACCAAGAGCCGGTACAACTCAATCGTCCTTGACCATGGTTTTGAATATAATTACTACAGGAGGCTTCAAGAACCGACGGAAAGAACTCTTCTAAGAACCATAAAAACATTTCAAAGTTATTTCCCGTAGAAAAATAAAAAAAGATAAAGGTTTTGTACTTACCAACTAAATATTGCACTGTCGTCAATAAATGGCGACCCTTATACACAAATTAATTTATATTACTGGCAGCGAGAATGACTCAATTCGTTATCGGGAGTTCCACAAAGAGATACAATTGATAAATTTCCATTAAACATTCTCCTATCAATTACCTGATAATTTTTTTTCTCGTCAAGTATAAATGCTGGTCGCCAACATGCACGGCAAATAAGCGGGTAAAAATGTAATAGATTCTAAGTTTGCCGCCGCATAAAACGCTAATTAATACACCGGTTAAATTCCGTGGATTCGCACCAATGACCAAGAGGATAGAACAAATTTCGCTACAACTCGTGAATCCTCTAACAATTCGTCGAAAGTGATTACGACTGAAAAATTCAGAACAGTGCACACGGTAGTGTTTGAATCTCCTTCCACCGTGAAGCCGTACGCCTTTTAGAGGATAAGTTTAAAGCTGTCTGAAAGCATGAATGTTTCGCTGTTGATTCTTGAGAGTGTCGATGAATTTCCCTTTCCGAATTTAATACAACCATACTGAAATATTTTATATCGCCGCAGTAATTACTTCTCCCGAATAAACATGTTTTCTTCAAGGAGCACACGTCAGCCTGACCTGACATTCACCGTGGGGGAGAACTTATGCGCGCGCATCACCGGATGTCAAGTTACCACTTCCGCTTGAATTATGAGTTGTTTACTTCCAATAAAGACTTTTTCCAACCAGTTTAATCGACCTTATTCTGATAAGAATTGCGTTCGAAGAAGTACTACATCTAGATTATTCAGATATCAGCATAATATATAGATAAAGCCAAGCCTAAAAGCGGAGCTCGCATTTTTTTTTCCCGCACGTCTCAAGGGCACAGGACTAGAACCCGGGTCGTCCGACTCGGAGCCCAGTGCACTGACCTCTGGACTACTGAACAAAGCCGTGGCGCATATTAAAAGTAGCACTTTGTACGGTCGTAAGGTCATACATCCAAATTTTTTCGGCTTGATGGGTTTCAACTATTTTGTATAAATATGGGGTTACGTTCTGCGAGCTCCGCTATTATGTTCTTGCTGGGGCACTTTACCTTTCCGCGGCACCGCACTGCATAGCATAATATTCTACCCTGAGTATTGTTATTTAGTATGAGTATTGTTATACAGGAGCTGGTACTGCTGATGCTGGAGCGATATTTACAACATCAAGCACTTGGTTTGGCGCCGGAGGAGCAGGCACTTGTGCAGCCATGAAGCGAGGAAACGGGTTTTGGAGTGCCAGCTAAGCAGCTGGATCCAATCTAAACGGCGGCCTAGAGTAGAGCTGAAAGGGGTAGGCCCAACGTGGCATTCATAATTTGGATATTCCCCCGAGGTATTTTATTAATATGTGCAAATTACTTTGCATTGCTAGTGGAAGCACTGTCTCCTTTTTCCCGTTGAACCATAACATCAATAACGACCGATTTCTTGATTGGTGAGCTAAACCCGAAATATCTGTTTACTGAAAAACATTTTCATTAGGATATCAAGTTTTGTACAACTTGAATTTGAAGTATAATAGCCTTGAATCTGCTTTTTTATCTATTCAATGTAATTTAATGCAACACTTTTTACAATTTACAAAAAATATTTTCAAGATTTCGCGAACGAAAAAAATTGACACATTGGTACAGATAGAACCGGAGTCTCCAATCTCATCAAGAACAATGAAAATATATCAGTAATCTACAACCTCATATTACAAACTCTTGCCGCGGGTCTATAGTAAACTCACTTGATGCTCTCTCGTGACGTTACATTCTGTATCTCTCTGAGTGCCTTTTGAAGAACATGGACAAAAAATGTTTCAGCTTCAGCAGACATGGGTTTTTCAAACATATGCAATATCTGCGCGAGGATTCCAAACACCATTCGGCTAGGGTCGGAATGTGTACCAAGAAATTGCTCTGAGGCGCTCGAGAAGTGGCAAGCAGTCTTCTCCCGCACGATGGTGGCTGGTATTGGCATGGTTTTCGTCATAGAGGAATCTTTCCGCGTGCGTTTAGCAGCATGAATGTCCCCTGACCTTTTTACTGGAACAGTAAATTGATCTGTTGATGCAAACTGCTCATAGAAACTTGGAAAGAAAGGATCTTCGTCAGATTCCTTATTCAGCCTAACCGCGGAATGAGAAGGTTTCATAAAGGTAGATCTCCTCCCCTCAAATTTTGCGTCGTAATCGCGGGAATAAGGTTGATGGTTTCTCGCTGTCTCGCCGGGAGTCTGGCCATCCCTTTTTGGGCTGTAACAGTGCAACGAATCTGTCTGTCGAGGAACTTGACAATCCTCTTTTGGGTTGTAAAGGGGAAACGAGGTCGTCTGCTTTTCAATCCCAAAACGACCACTGAAACCAGGCTGTGGGGCCATATCAGCTACCTGTCGTTCCAAAAACCTCTCATACTCTTCTAATTCATCCAGGAGCTGTTTCTCTGCATCATGATCCAGAATGGTTCGACCTGAGGACGCTACATTGTTATCATTACTACTGTTCTGCAAGATGTTCGCAGTCGTGTCAGCCGAAGCCCCACCGGCCTGACTGTCAGGTTTGTCTTTTCGAGATGTGCTGACATGCCTGGTTTGCAACTTAAAGTTCACGCATTGTGGCAGGACACAGAAGATGTCTGCACAATTTTTTCCGTGAACATCATAGTCAAGACTCCCTCGAAATGTTGGGGCATTACGCATGACAGGCGCCATATGCAGAAGTCTGTTCATGTCGTAAAATATCTGTAACAGGAAAAAAACGTTACTCTTGTTGATTGATTTACTGAAATCTCAAATCTCATAAAGATTGAATCAAATGGGAATCAAATCTAAAATAATATTTTGGATGGGTTGATTCTTGAGAAAGGCATGCCGTTCACACTGCCGGATCTCTAATTCCGGTTTCCTTCAGCATGATGTGAATTAAGGTTCTGTCGCTGCCCCTGAACGGGATGCTAATCGAATTCGTAAAGTTTTCTTGACATTTTTCAAGTTTACATCGATGCTCTTGGGTAAAGAGAGTCACTGTGAATTCCCTCAAACAATTTGTTCGAAGTAAAAGAGCGAGCGAAGTTTTCAGTTCTACAACAAATATACGTTTTCGGTAAGTCTTTCCAAGTCTGTTCAATTTGGACATTTGTACCGTAAATTGCAAAGCAGAAACTGAAGCAATTAAATTAAAAAGAGCTGCATAAATCCCCTTGTGCCTAATTAAAGTGTCTCATTCGAATTTAGTTTTTGTGGAGGAAAGACCCGTATTACACACATTATTGCAGCAAAAAAAACGAGCAAACTCTCACAACTTCAAAAGAAAAAATCGAATTTCCTTTTAATTACTTTCCTTGCCATTTACTTACCGAACAGAGGTAAATCATGATCTTCGTACATTAATTAATCGTCGATGAGAGTTAATAATACTTTCTGACTGTTTTTGAGAAAAACTTTGTCGTGACAGTCCTCGCCAAACGTAAAGGGGTAAGTTTCTAAAGAAACTGTGGTGCTGCGTCGGTGGGAGAGTATAGCAGGTAATTAAGTGTTAACAACTGGGTTGAAAACGTAAATTAGCCACCGTAAAGGGTAAAAAAGCTGACATTTCGAGCGTTAGCCCTTCGTCAGAACGAAATTGCCAAACGTAGCTCCGTTGTTTCATTCAAAAGTGTACATGTGTTAATCACAAATAATCCCTTTCAGTTTTTAGAGAAAGCAAAACATTGCACAAGAATACTAAGCAAGAAGAAATCGGAATTATGGCGCCTTTTTTTTTTGTAACTTTGATTTCAGTCTCAGAGAAACAACATATTATTATCAGCGGGCTTTCCTGCGGGTAAGATCGACTTTAAGAAGTCGTTGAGTTCGCTTGAATAGACATAATTTGGTCTTATCAGCTAAATTGATAGTGCGAATTGACTATCATAAAGAATTTCTAAACGGCTCAGTCGAATTTAGTTTTTGAAGAGGAAAGACCCGATTTGCACACGCCGTTGCAGCAAAAAACGAGCAAACTCTCACAACTTCAAAAGAAAAAATTTGATTTCCTTATAATTACTTCCCTTGCCATTTGCTTACCGAACAGAGGTAAATCTTCGTACATTAATCAATCGTCGATGAGAGGTAATAATACTCCCTGACTGTTTTTGAAAAAAACTTTGTCGTGACAGTCCTTGCCAAACGTAGTTCTATTGTTTCATTCAAAAGTGCACATGTGTCAATCACAAATAACCCCTTTCAGTTTTTAGAGAAAACAAAACATTGCGCAAGAATACTAAGCAAGAATAAATCGGAATTTTGACGCCTTTTTATTTTGTTCATTTGTTTTCAGTCTCAGAGAAACAACATATTATTATCAGCGGGCTCTCCTGCGGGTAAGATCGACTTTAAGAAGTCGTAGAGTTCGCTTGAATATACATAATTTGGTCTTCTCAGCTAAATTGATGGTGTGAATTGACCATCATAAAGAATTTCTAAACGGCTCACGTTTCGACCAATGGCCCTTCGTCGGAACTTGAATAGAGTTCTTTTCCTGCTGTCCTTTCATCCATACCTGTCTTTCATGCAATTTTTGCGAATTCAATGAGACGTGCGGCGTCAAAGAAGTATGTACAAAGTGCATAGAAACATATATTTGTCATCATTCCGAAGTCTCACGTTCGCGATCACGTTCCAGCAAATTAGGTGACTTCAGTGCCCTCAAGCCGAAATTTACACTACACTTGTGTAAAACTATATCAGTGAGCCAGTCAGGAATGCAGTCTTCCTGCTGCGAGAAATTTGTACCTTGTCATCAAATGCATCAGATATGCATCAATGGAATAAGGGGTCTTTCTTTTCCAGGTGAGCTCCTTTTGGATTAAGTTCTTTTTTAATGCATGACATCAATTTAAAAAAAATTATAACTTAGCACACATGCTTGCCGCTATTAACAAAATCTATATTTACGTACGCTCGTGCGTAAATAAGATGACTCATCTGACGTGACGTGTGCATTTTTTTGACCTGGCTTCAGAGATTCTGTCCTGTTGAGCTGCGGTGCAGTTTTCTTTCTCTTTGAAATATGGAAGAAACCAGCGAAGAACTGCCCAATTTTTCTATCGGCATCGACCTTTTAAGTCCTGATCCAACAAGCAACAAAAATTAAGCCGAAAACGACTCGCAAGTTGCACGTTTCGCAAATTTGTCGGAAGACTAGCTGCAGCAAATTTTGGCCGAAAGACATTCACTGGGAACAAAAAAAGTCACCAATTGGTCATTAACAACATTTAAAGGTAAAATTCCGTTTTAATTGTTGTTCTTAAATTTGTTCAACCTGTGGAATAAAGTACATAGTTGTTAATTGGGAATTGACCAAAACAAAAACACTATCACAATAAAAGGCTTCTTCCCACAGATCCTTGTTGTCGCCCTGTTATTAAAGAATTTGCTCATGCTTTTAGCTGTGCGTATATCGAGTTATGGATGCACTTGGGAAGTTTCTTTTTTGGTTTCGAAATGAATTTGTATAAGCAAAAAGTGTCATTAAATTGGTTGATAGGTGGCCTAAAAACCGTTTGTAATTAATTTCAATCCTTCACGAAAAGTACCTAGAAAGTCAAAGCTTAAAGGGCATGTAAACCCAAAAAACGTTCATTTTCTTTTCACATAGATGTTTAGTAAATATATCAAGTACACCAAAGGTGCCATTCGTTTTTTCTCAAAAGTCCATTTTCACTTTGAAAAAGCTCTTCCAAATTCGAAACATTCGCCATTTTGAATGGCGCCATCTTTCTTGTGACGTCACGGGTGGAACCTACAAAGTTTCGTTTAATAATCGCGTGAGACACGGAGTCTTTTCCACAGCCGTTGTTTGCCGGTCTCGTCACGATTTTTTTACTTACAGTTTGCTTCAATATACTCAGTTTTTTCATAATGGTAAAGCGTTGTGTCGTCCAGTTTTGTACTGATTCAAACAAAACCGAGCATACAACGCAAATATTTCCAAATGACGCAAATTTGAAGCCACAATTTGTGAAACTTGTTCAAATGAAAATAGCCGATTTCGTCGAGCCGTTCGAACATTCTGTTGTTTGTAGCAGTCATTTTTCTTCCTGGTGTTGTACCGACAATTCAGGCCCTACCAGAAGCAAATTATTCGGAACTATAAACAGCTAGTTGTAGTACTGTATTATTAAATCAATGACTGAAACAACTCAAGCAAATCGATCTAAAAATGTAACGAAACAGATGAAACGGAAAACATTTAGCTTACTCGTTTCCGGTGTGATTCTCTGTGCCTTACTGCTGCCTGTACGCACCCAGAAATCGAGGCAAATTGACTAAAAACCTGGATACTCAGTGATACAACTTATCTGGGTTTCAGACCCTCGCTCCTCTACTTTTTGCCACAATTGCCCGATTTCCGTACAACAAACACTTTCACGAGTTGTCGGCATTGGTTGACAAGTTCCACACTCGCACCTTTGACAATTTTATACAAAACACCCTCGGAAGCTCAGCGGATTTAAAAAATTTCTGTTGCATTCTTTTAGATTGTGCCCTTGCTTTATTGGATTTTCATATCAAATACAAATAAATCACACAGTAAATTAGATACCAGTCTGAGTTTCCGAAGAGGTCGCATCGCTGTCAACACTATGTTCGTGCGGATCGCTTCGGTGAACCCTACGCAGCTCATATTGTTAAGGACGTGGCCCAGACTCTCCTAAAGATTCTAGACCATCCCCATCGCCGTCATATACTAAGCTTAGGGCATTCGAGTCGCTATCTTCTGAAAAACATCTTCGAACTACCGCTACTTACACGAGCTACCACACCAGTTCTACTAGGGAATATGTGTTGCGCAATATTTTAGTTCCACCGCTTACGTCACGACTCTCGCTATTGTTTTTACAGGAAATGGAATTTCAGTTGAAAATGCCGATTTTTCTCCTAAAATAAGTCGAATTGGACAAAACGAATTTCAGATTCGTTCTCTACGCTACTTTTTACATAGTATGAGAAAAACATGTATTTTTGGGTTTACATGCCTTTAAGGTATTCGTTTGGTCACCATTGAATTAATCGATGAAACTTTCACTCATTTTATATCTGAATTCCCTCAAACAATTTGTTCGAAGTAAAAGAGCGAGCGAAGTTTTCAGTTCTACAACAAATATACGCCTTCGGTAAGTCTTTCCAAGTCTGTTCAATTTGGACATTTGTACCGTAAATTGCACAACAGAAACTGAAGCAATTAAATTAGAAAAAGCTGCATAAATCCCCTTGTGTCTAATTGAAGTGTCTCATTCGAATTTAGTTTTTGTGGAGGAAAGACCCGATTTACACACACCATTGCAGCAAAAAAACGAGCAAACTCTCACAACTTCAAAAGAAATAATTCGAATTTCCTTTTAATTACTTTCCTTGCCATTTACTTACCGAACAGAGGTAAATCTTCGTACATTACTTAATCGCCGATGAGAGTTAATAATACTCTCTGACTGTTTTTGAAAAAAACTTTGTCGTGACAGTCCTTGCCAAACGTAGCTCCGTTGTTTCATTCAAAAGTGCACATGTGTCAATCACAAATAATCCCTTTCAGTTTTTAGAGAAAACAAAACATTGCGCAAGAATACTAGGCAAGAATAAATCGGAATTTTGACGCCTTTTTATTTTGTTCATTTGTTTTCAGTCTCAGAGAAACAACATATTATTATCAGCGGGCTCTCTGCGGGTAAGATCGACTTTAAGAAGTCGTAGAGCTCGCTTGAATATGCATAATTTGGTCTTCTCAGCTAAATTGATGGTGTGAATTGACCATCATATAGAATTTCTAAACGGCTTACGTTTAGACCGATGGCCCTTCGTCAGAACTTGAATAGAGTTCATTTACTCTTTGCCCCTTTGGCAACGCCGAGATAACGAATCTTATGCAATACACCAGACTCCTAATTCGTTGTGACATACGTAGAAAGAATAATTACCTTAGTTTCCCAAAATATCGTTGGCACAGCAAATACACCTTATTTCTTCTTTCTCCAGGTACGCTACAGTACCCCCTCGCTCCTTGCTTTGAATTTCCCTCTGAGTTTAATGGTATATATCTACTTTTTCATAGAATTTTCTAGACCCACAGTTTTCTAGAAAGGTCAGTAATGTGACGTAATTGTCGAAAGAGTACCTGTCTTGTGTGACAAACAGTGTCACTTATTGAACGACTTCCTGTTGATCTCGAGCGGCCCATCGTTTCCAATGCACTCGCTTTATAACTTCATTTTCCAGTTGCTGTTCTTTTTTTTGTTTTGTTTTGTTTTATTTTTGGCGTCTTATCATGTTTTTCTATTATTTTAAGATTTCGTAATATTTTAGGGAGGTAAAACGGGTGAATAGATTATGAGACTCCATACAAAGCTGAGTGGGAGGGGAAGCGACTGAAGGTGTTACCATGTAACAGAAAATAAACAAAAGACAAAAACTAAAACGCTCTAGAAAAACAAAAATCTGATGATGGGGGATCTTGTACAGGACCAATTTTTCTTTGCGCTAGGTTTCGTTCTCTATGGTTAGGCATGAAAGTTGCTTTTTATTAACTTATTAGGGCGGAGTAACGGTGGGGAAAATTAGTCCATCATCTACATTTGCAGATTCCCTCCATTTTCACCTCTTATATACAGTTTACGTTTGTCATTCTTTCGGGTTAATCATATTGGGAAAACGTTCATGTTTTGGTGAAAATTTTTTGCTTATTTTTTGCCGATCTTCCTCTGCGCTTACTAATGGTAAAACATATCCTCAAATTGTGTTTCTATGCCTCCCAATTCAAAATCAGTTCGATTCGTCTGGCAGCTATCCATCTCAACTGCGTGGCTTGAACTTGGCAGATAACAATAATACGACCTCATCAAGCAGCGAAATGCCACAAACGAAAGGGCAGGCGGGACTACAAGTTCCACAAGTTCCGTAGAGTGCAGCACTGATCTTATATTGAACTATGTGATCTTTTTGTTCTTGATCAACAGGTCGTAAAATTCAACTTGATAAAAGAAGGAAACGAAATCATTTCTCAGTGCGAAGGACAGAAAATAATCTGAAGTAAAACGATAGTTTAATACGGATAGATAAACAATATGTTCGATTTCGTAAAATAGTTTCATCTCTCGAGGAAGAGCTCTACGATTTTATTCCTCCCCTTTTGAAGGGGAATTATCACAATACTCGTAAAAACGTAATCGCCCACTTACGCAAATGTGTACATATTTGGTGTCAAGAGACGTTTTATTTTGGAAACTTGAGCTATAATGATAAACACAATAAGGAAATAAAAGAGTAAAGAAGCTAAGTAGTGGAAAAGAGGTGTGTTTCGAACTTCACTGTATAAACCGTCGGTTGGTTTTGATATTTTTTTATCTACTGTAACTAAAAGTCTGTTGACACCGATGCCAGACGAATGCGACTGGGATATTTTCACTTGTCAAAATTTTGTCTGACTCTTTCAAACTTCAAAGAAGCCGGTGTTTTTGTATAATAAGTGTCCGCAAAATCCCTTACACTATAACATCCGGCGTTAATTGCGGACAAAGTTTCCCTCTTGTTTTCAATTGTGCCAAAAATAAGAATCGCCAGTGATAAAACTCAGTTCAAGAAACAATCGTAATTGTAAATCAATATAGCTGCCGTTCTAAAATAGTAAATGGTTGGTGTTGCCACCGATCGTTTGTGATGAATGGAACTGCTTCTGTAAAGTGTTAGTGACGATTTGTTGTTGATTCTACTTTCGGTTGCATTTACCCATCCATACGGGAGGCGACAAGGGACAATCCCAAAATATTTTTGACATTCGACAAAATATATTTTTTTTGCGAAGGAACGTTCGAGCATTGAGCAGAATTTACGCCAGAATTGTATGCCAAACCGTTGAATAAGGGATTTGATATTTCACTATTATTCCAAAAAAATATTGATCAGGATACTAAAAACAACGACTGACATTGGCGCTATTGACCTTCCACAGAACATCAGTGATATTTAATTAGCGATTTTAATTGGAGTCTTACAACGGCGTTTAGTACATCAACACATGGGACTGAGGTTCAACACCAACGATTGACCATTCTAGAACGTCACCTAAATTGATTTTAAGTTAAGATTTGTTGCTACCATGAACGATTGACTTTTATCACTGGCGATTTATATTTTTGGCACGATTCATAATTTTGGCACAACTTTGGATCTGATTTTTCCATTTGACCTGCGCTGAATGTCATTCAGGTATAAAATTTCTTGCGTGAAGCGATGTTTTAATGGTAGCAGTTAGCTGTCAAGGGCGGTGAATAATACCACATTAAGCTTCTTAGTCCGTGGAACTTTTATGGAAATCTACTATATTATGCAGTCTGGAGCAATCGGAATGTTATCATGACAGTATACGATACGCTTAGTGCTTACGCTTCCTGCTTACATCCTAATGAGGAGATGACGTCCACGTTTTACATGCGTTGTAAAGTACCTGCTTAGAGTATGTCTGATTATTTTAACAAAAAATAAGATGTCATGATCGGCTTTCAAGAGCTCTAAATTAGAGAAGAAGGGGCCAAAATTGGTCCACTAGGCTTTGTAAAACTCACTTTTCTGAATTTTAGAAGTGCTTACTTCTAAATAAACGCATGGCTTTTTGAAGATTAAAGATGTATCGACCGTGTGCACCTAAAATCAACGATTTTTACGAAGTAAAAGCAATATCCTTTTTCACTTGAAAATGCTCAGTAGTAACAAGTAGATAAGTAACAAATGGATTCTATCTTGCCGTGCATCTGTTTTGTGATAGATCGCAGATTTCGCAAAATGTGTTAAGAACTAAAAAGCACTGAGCTCCCAAGGCGCAGCCGAGTGTGTCACTGCGTGAAATGGACCACTGCGTGAAATGGAACGTTTGACTGCTATGTTGTTGACCACCTCCCCGTTTGCTGCTAAAAATTGACAAGGGCTGAAACTACTAACAACTAAAAAAAATGATTTCAAAGCTGGCTAAAAAAAATTGAACAATGCCTCACAGTAGACGCATCTATCTCCAGCTGAGTTAAAGAAAAAAGTTACTCGTATCATATAGGGAGCCAATTGTGCCAAAAATAAGAATCGCCAGTGATAAAACTCAGTTCAAGAAACAATCAAATGTTATTTTTAGTTCACCAAAAAAAGTGCATAAGATTGTTTCAAAATAATCTCTTCATGCAACTCGTGCATCTTGCATATCTTGGACGATTTCCGCTTTTGCCCTTTTCCATCGCCAGCGAGAATTCGGCAGCAGAGAGACATCGCTAAGGCTCAACATGGGTCGCTAACGCTTGAAACGCCGTTCATTCAGCTAAGTAACGCGTAATGCTTCCCTTCCCACTAAATAAATGTATATGTTTACTGAAACGTTTACTGTTCAATTATTCTGCTCACGAAATATTCACGCTGCTTCCTACCGTGCAATTTGCCAAATTTGGCTTCGTTTGGAACTTTATTGTTCAATTGTTATTCAATTATTTTTCTAAATACGTTACATAACTTAAAGGAAGGGGAATATGTTTTGGCTGAGTTAGTTCGACGTATAGATGTCATGTAGATCACTTCTATGATAAATAGAAAATAATACATGGGTGCGTGTAGATATGAAATTTCTCTTCGAGTGTTCAACTCGGGTTGTCGAGTTGTCGAGTTGAACACGAGAAGAGAAATTTCATATCTACATGCAACCATGTATAATTTTGTTTATCATATAAACACAATGGCCCTTTACTGACGAGAAAAGTCAACTTTATTAATGAATGAAATAAAAGGATCGTTAATTCCCGATTAAAAATTGTTAAGTCCGTTGGCGCTAAGGTCCTCACCGACAGAAAAAATCTTCCAGGTACTGTACACATCTAAAATCGACCTATTACAGTCGAAAAACCTAGAATAAAAAATCTAAATGAGGAGGAACAACACTGGTCTCTAAAGCCTAGATCATTTCCACATTGTCACTACGTAAACCTAACCTGACGGACGATAAAGCTTTATTTGAAGCAAACAAAAGATCTTCGTTTTCAACCAGCATTGGCAGCCTGTGATATATAACAAATTTAATACGTTCAGCAATTCCTGCTTAGAAACTTTTGCGGGGGTTTTTCCTTGCCCCCTAAAATTTTTGTTCGGGGGAGGCGGTTACAGTCATTCCTACCCTTCCTTGAACTCCCCCCCCCCTCACCGATCAAAGTGAGTCAATCAATTAATAAAATTGTGTTTTCCTGACCAAGATAAAAGGGTATTACCCTTAAATTGAGACCATGATCCTGTGACAAGCAACTGATCGAGAAAAACACTGAAATATGGGCCAACTGTCTAAAGCCATCGTTAAAGATGCAAGTCAAACTGCGTTGATTCAATGTACATAACCCAATCAATATAGAACTTTTTAGTAATTACAAGCTGGTTCCAGGTCTAAAGTAGACAAACTTAATGCTATCCCGCTTGACTGCACTTTGTATGTCTCTGAGTGCCTTTTGAAGGACGTGAACGAAAATTGCTTCAACTTCTGCTGACGTGGGTTTTTCAAACATATGTAATATCTGCGAAAGGATTCCAAATACCCTCTGGGATGGTTTGCGCTGCATACAAGTAAGTTGTTCTGTTGTGCCCAGGATGTGGCAGGCAGTCTTTTCCACGTTAGTAGTTGATACGGGCAAGGTAATCGTCTCGGAATCTGTCCGAGTCCGTTTGGCAGTACTCCTTCCTTGGGATTCTTTCATAGGCCGGTGAGCAGATTCATCTGTTGACGTAAACTGTTCATAATAATTAAGAAAGATAGGGTCTTGATTAGATTCTGTACTATGTATCATTTTGGGATTAGAGGGCTCTTTGAAAGTAGCACCTCCCCTATCAAATAAGGTGTCATACTCAGGGGGCTCTCGTTGGTGTTTTCTTGCCTCCTTGGCTGGTATCTGTCGAGGAAACTGAACATCGTCTTTTGAAGAGTAAGAGGGCAGCGGGTGTGTCTGTGTGGAAACCTGACAACCCTCTCGAGCGGTGTAAGATGGCGAAGAGTTCTGCTCATCAATCTCATAAAAATCTCGGCTAAAACCAGGATGAGGTCCAAAGTCAGCCATTTGTCCCTCAAGGATCCTCTCAAACTCCTGAATGTCATCTAGCAGCTGTTTTTCTGCATCGTGGTCCAGAATGGCTTGATTCAGGAACATCAGCTTGTCTCCATCATTATTCTTTCGGATGTTCACAGCTACGTCCGAAGGAGCCATGTCCCTGCCGGTGCAATTTCTTTGTTTGTCTTTTTGAAGTGTATTGATATGCCTAGTTTGCAGCTTAAAGTTCACGCATTGTGGCAGAACACACAGAGTGTCTGAACAATTCTTTCCATGAAAAGCATTATCAAAGCTCTTTTGAAACGTTAGTGTATGCTGCATAACCTCGGAAGGGTATTGAAGTCGGTTTATGTTGGTGAAATATCTATAGCAGAAAAACAAAAATACCATAAGGAGGAATATCCGTATGAACTTTAGCCCCTTAATTGCTAAGAGAGTGACCAGCATCTAGTTTCTCCTTACAATATCAGTTCTGAATCACACATTAAGTCACGAGAATTAAGTAAATTATCTTTGAGTAAATTACCTTAGGAAATGTAAAGAGAACAGTCTGGAGAGTATGGATGCTGATGTTAGGGTATAAAGGTTTAAATAGTACAATCGTCTCCATGCCACGAGTGCAAAAGCACGTTCATGCTTACGAACCGAGCTGATTGCTTTCAATTTTCGCAGTTGATTAACAGTGCGAGAGAAACATGGAGGTATATTGTTTAATTATTATGTAAATGATGAAAGGAAGTTCAAAATAATTACACTGAGGGGCCACACAATCAAGTGAACTTATTTGTGAAAGAGAATGCAAAACAGTTTGTTCACGAAAAAAACTGTATCATTTTCTGCACTTTCATTAATTAATTTATCCTGACTTACGATATGACTGTAAAAAAAAGGTGGACAAAAGGTTGTCGTGGTCACCTCTTCCATTAACAAACACAAACGACCTATTATGGTCAAATCGATACAATCAATTTTGCTTCTAGCAAATTGTGGTCATGTTAATCTAAATTCTATTTTATGATCTGTTCCAAATTGCATGTTTAGACACAAGTTATAATCCATGTTTTACGAAAGCAAGTTCGTCAAAACTTTTGGAATTGTTTCCGTTTATAGTGCAAAGACCTTAACAAATTGTGTCTTGTAAATATGTTTTACCGCGTAGTAGCCTACATTGACGCAATGTAAAATAGAATATTAATTACCTCGTGTCTTCGTGTTTGAAAATGTCTCTATTTCTGATGCGCGTACTCCTGATAAAGTTTAAAGACTACGGAGACCACAAGCACATGATAGAACCGCCTACTCTGAGCTTACTCCGTTGAACTTACCGCCTTTATAATAAACGATTTTGCAAATTATATTTTGAACTTTCTAGAACGTAATGACGAGCCTTTACGAAGGAGAATCCCGAACGGTGCCGACGCCTTAAGATATTGTGAAGTGGAGCTTCGAGAAAAATCGGTTTATGCAAATTACTTTGCCGTGGTTTTCGAAGAAAGAGGAAGATAGAACAATATTGTGTTCAGTAGAAAATTAGCAAACCAAACTTAACTTAAGCAGTTATAGGGCATCCAGTTGCGGTTCATAAATCGATTTGGAAAAGCAGAAACCAAATGTAAACACCAATTCTCTAAACAAACAAGGAAAAATATGTTTAAAAATAGCTAGAACTTGGTGACCCCTCGGAACGTCAAGAATTCAACAATGATCCTCCCTGAACTAACCCAGCCGTGTAAAATCCAAATACGAAATATTTGTTTATTGTTTGATGTATCAAAGAGGGAAAAAATTCCAAATCCATGGGGAATTTCAAGTCCGTTGAGTGACATCAAGTTTTTTCGGTGTGCAATATTATATGCAAATTTGAATTGCGTGACGTGACAAATAGATCTGACTTGATTGAAAAAAACAAGCGCACGTTATGATCTAATGAATACACCTAATTGACTTAAACGCTTTTACAGTGTATTTTTAAACATGGAGAACAAAACGCGTTTTCAAATTTCACGCGATCAATTATCATCAATAAGCGATCGATTATCATCACTAAGTTCTAATGAAGCTAAAAACCGGAAGCAGCCGACAGAAGCCGAGTGCTACCGAAGACTCCCGAAAGCCGGGATTTCCTCTTCGTGTTACTTGCGTCAATAAGTTAAATGAGCGTGTCAATTAACATTCGTTGCGGAAAATGTTTCGCGGTAACATTTACGTAGGCAGATCTCGGGGAACTTACGACTATTGCCGAGCACTTGAAAACATTTCGAAAAATACTAATTCATGGAAAATTAACAAAAGGGTTTGTCTATGAAAATACCTACGTAAGCAGAACTCGTGGGGCCACGACGACAACGGCCCGAGCACTTCCGAAGTACCTCTCGACTCAGAGTGATATAACCGAAAGTAACGAAGTTCAACTTGTAACACAATATCTGTGACGTGTTTTAATTCGTAAGCCTGTCTACTTTGAAAACCTACATGTGGCGCTTGATAAACTGTATATAGGCTAAGGTTATGAATAACAAATATTCATAATAGCACTGTAGAACTCCTCGACAACCCACCTGAAAACTTTTAATTCTTATAATCCTTCTATAAAAATCTCTTACAAAAGCGGAAAAAAAAACACGAAGAATCAATAACACTGTAAGAAGTTCCACCTCATAAAACGGGAAATGTATCTTCAACATATCATCGCCCACGCCACGAGACTACATACACCTAAAACTCTTTATAAAATCAATTCGCACCCACGCATGAGTCATGCCAAAAACTGCGGAAAAAATAGTATATTTGCTTCATTACGGTCGGGTGAAGATGAAGTTCAAACGTGATAATCGTATTTCTTCAGTAAACACTTTCTAAAACTTTTACTTTGCGTCCAGTTTAGTATATGATTTACCACATAAGCAAACCCAAAAAGTTGAGACGGTTTCAGTTAATTTCATAGCATGTTACCGATACCGATATAAAAAAAGAGAAGACGTTCAAACGGGTAAGTACAAATAAACACCCACGCTTGTACAAGTCCTATATGAAAAACCAAGACTTAAGAAAATGATAAATAGTTGCAAGTTAACTGTCAGTTAAAGGTTTCAAGGATTGAGATAAAAAAAAAAAACAAAAAAAAACAGAAGAACAAAAACTTATCAACCTTATATCAGTCATGACAGTTGCTGTTTGCGAGCAGACGTTTCTTATACTTAAACCTAAGTCGAAAAAACTTATTCATTATTACAAGTGGATTAGCGGAAGTAGATTTCACTGAAACAACAAATACAACGGAAACAGAGACTTGGAGCGAACCCTTGCAATATCCAGACCCCAAGCCGACAAAGGCGCAAAATACTGTATTCTTACGAAGGACATTGGCAGTGTAATGCTCCATAATTAATTCCGATGAAATAGTGGTATAACGGTATAACGTAGCTTCAGAAATGCGATGTGACTTATGTGAATTAACGAAGCTGTAACTTACGACACTTACTTTTATTTTCGAGAATGTCTTTTTTAATAACCTAGCTTATTATTGTTAATTTCCTACTGGTTCTGCGCTAATGGTATCCTAACTGACGTTCTTTGAATTATTGAGCAATCTTCCCACGTTATACGAACAATACACTACATGGATGTCTCAGCGTAAAATTGATCTGAATTGCCGAATTTTCTACTACGAGTGTTTGTGCTTTCGTTGGCCAGCTTTGTAAAAACAACAAACTTTCAGAGGCTTAATAAAAATTTGTCAAAAATGTTACTCTGTTATCCTAACTTTAATTATCATTGTTGATATTATTGTTTAATAGAAATCTAAACATTATTGAATATTCTGCAATTTTTCAGTCTCTGTCTGTATTATTAGTTTTATAATTCATTGTCATAGTTATCGTAAGAATTAATGGCCATAAGTTATTTCACCGATAATAACAATCTCTAAATCGAACTCCGTCCACGTGGCATACCAGGCATCTAGAAGAAAAACACTTGAAATCGTTCACTTGAAAATTTAAATGACAAAACCTATCGAGACAAGAACACTCCCGTCAGTCTGTATTAAACACGCTGGGATCGGATGGGTGACTCTTTATACTCTCCTTAAAGTTTGATATTAGTGAGACAAGGAAACCCTGGAAGACTAAACTTGTCATCTTTATCATAATACCCATCTTTTAAACAGAAGCGCAAAAATACGATCGACTCTTGTTTTGACCAGTTGTATGAATATTTAATGAGTCGTGTAATTGAGGTCGATTTTTTGCCTTAGGGTATTTTGATTGTGCTTGGTAATTATACACTTTGATGAACTGTGCATGCGTGCGTGGGTGTCGGTACACGTTGCTTGAGATAAAGAAGGTTGTATCATCGAACTCTCTTCATTTATCCCCCCCCCTCCCGCGTTCTCCCCCGGACTGTAGTCTCAATCCTAGGAAGTATGATCAAGATGTCGTTGATATATGACTTGCCATTTTCAGGTAACTCGCAGCCTTACACCAGAAGACTTGCCCTCTAGTGCGTGACAGTTATAAGCGGGGGTGGTTTCCGGATTATAATACGATACAACGATTTAACGGTCGGTGCGCATTTCTCGCATATCGGTTGCGTGCAGATGAAAACCCTGAGGCCATTTGTGAATCAAAAACAAAACAGCTATTAGCGACGTCAAACTGAGCTCAGCAACACCGAAAACTGCTTGATTGCTCAATACATCCGTTGAATTAAAGTTTTGAATCGTTTCTTAAAGAGAGGTTTGATCATTAATTTCTAAGTAATCAAAAGCTCAACTCATTTTCAAGTTTGCCACGAAAATAAACTATGCTTAAGGATGTAAGGCAAGAGTCGCCGAGGGGCAGTTGAACGGTTCGACGTGGAAATTTATGTAGCTTTCTTAACTCAAATAATCTAAACCGAGCTTTGTTTTGATTGAAAATGCGTAGCAATGTGGAAGTGCTTTAAAGTAAACTCGGAAACACCAACGAGTCTTTGTTGCGGTTTCACAATGTTTCAAACGAACTTATTGATCAGTGCGGGGGCGGTTTTATCATTGTAATAAAACAACGTCATTGTGCCCAGAATACCGGGGATAAATTGCCATCAATATAAAGACAAGTGTTAAAAGAGGAATCTAGAGAGGTTTTGCTTCTACGACGTTTTCCCTTTTGGCCATTTGCTAATCACGTGTCTACAGGTTGGTCAGAAACTTTCCAACTCTATACACTTAGGACTTAATTGCTAGTATGTTTGTTAGTTTACTGATGATCTGTTTATGTTCGTTGTAATTGTATCACTTTTAGCAAATATTTATCAGTTTTCACATTTGCGCTATTTATCTCCGAAAGATGGTACAAACTGTTTGGACGTTAAATTGGAGCAGATTAGATTAGGATTCAACCACAAAAAGG